GGACAATGACGTGGCTTCGTCTCGATCAGTCTTCAAGCAAAGGTGAAAGTGATTGGACTTCACACAGAATGCTCACACTACCCATGTGTAGGCGTCATTTGCTGTTTTTTGTAGGGAAATGGTCAATCTTCGCATGAGCTGTGCTGTTAGGTGACTCAAATGCTTAGTGGGATGTAGTATTTCAACGGCATATGTATCAGTATTGCAGCAATCTAGCTTCGTAGAAAACAATAATTCGAGTCAATTGTCAGAATATACCTTTCTTTCGAGTGCTTTATTAAGACCACGCTCAAATTTCAATAGATCCTTTCATTATTATTTGAGCCAACATGTCATGTGGTCTGGTAAAGGCTCTTGTACAGCCCGAGACACGTGTTTCGTCCTTACAGACTCATCAGCCGGGCAGAACCCGTCGTCTGTCCACATGACATGTTGGGCTCAAATAATAATGAAAGGTACTTCTTCTAACAACTCCCAAGACCGACTGTCTATTAACCTCGGCATGCTTCAGTATGATTCTTGATTTTCTTCTTTGAGCAGAACACGAGGTGTTACATTAAACTTTATTCGATAGCTGACGTTTCGGCAGTTCGCCTTCTTCAGAGCCTGGAAAGGTCAAAAGTTTGCAATACAATCAGTCAAACACCTCCATTACTTCTTTAGAGAAAATCACCAGACCTAGATTTCAATCGCATCAAGCAAAAATCAACACTTAACATACTCACCGCTTTTTATATGTGTTCCACTGGATGATCCAAGTGGAGATCACCGGCAAGAGAGACACATAGGCTCGTAATGCACCCTACCCATCAAAACAACAGTCTTATATACTGGCTCATATCACGAGTGTTTACAAGGCATTCCTCCCTGCGGTTTATGGTTGGATTGGTCGTATTAATCCAAAATGCTTCCAAGATCTTTCGCGCTGATGTTTTTTGCTCCTGCGCAAGGATGGTGACTTCGATTTCAAAATCAACTCCGTCGTGCTTCTGTGCTCTATGCGTCCCTAGCGGGGTGTTTTGTCTATTAAGACGCTTGTCAGCTAGGTGTTCTTCTATGCGTGCATAGAGCGGCCTACCCGTTTCGCCTACATATTTATCACTACACGCTTTGCAAGAGATTAGGTAGACTGTACCTACGCTCATGCAATCACCGTCTCTGCCGTTAGGACATATTTTACAATCATTCATCATACAGAGACGGTCATATAAGCGGTTGCGAACTAGTTGGCGTTTTAGAGTATTCGGTGGTATTTCAATAATGGCCACCGATTGCTCTAAGCCCGCTCTTTTCAAACATCGTTTTATAGCTGTACTAACCTCATTTGAATAGAACGGGATGATAAACGGGACTTTCCTTTCAACTAAGTTTTCGTTCGGAGGCGCATTATTTCCTCTAAACCTAAGCCGAGGGGCTACGAATTCGTATCCATTAGAAGTGGCTATTTCCCGCGCCAGTTTCACGGATTCTACTCTCTGCTCCTCCCCGGTACATACATTGGCTGCTGTTCGAAACATGTTTTTTACTAGCGCCTTCTTCGTATGTGAGGGGTGAGAAGAGAGATAGTGAACCAAGATATTCTTACTACTTGGCTTTCGGTACCACTTCGTTATGTAGCCGCTCTCAGTTAAGCTTATTTGCACGTTCAAGAATGGAAGCCAATCGTCTTTTGGTATCTCACGGGTGAATCTTATATACTCTGACTGTTCATTCAGCAATCTAAAACAATTATCCAGCTCCTCTTGAGTGGAACAGATAATCAAACAATCATCTATATACCTACAGTAGAGTAATGGCCGGAGATCCATCACTGGTGCTTCCACTTTAGACATAAAGGCAATGGCCAGGCTAGGTGCCAGTCGCTGTCCCATTGCCAGCCCTCTGGTTTGAGCATAATAATTCCCGGACCATCTGAAGATTGAGCAGTTCAAGCACTCTTTTAGTAGGATCATGAACTGCTCAATCGTCAAGCCATACATGTTTACAGCTCCCTGGTGTTGTATAAGAAGCTCATGTGTGGCTTGCAATGCGGAGTCATTCGACACGTTGGTATATAAAGCAGTAACGTCGAATGACTTCATTACGTACGCGTTGTTCGGGTTCGCGTTACGTAGACGATCCAGGAACATCTGAGTGTTTGTCAGATGGGCTGGAATGTGTCCTAGCAACTGGGATGCTTATTAAAGTCAAGAACCATGCTATCCTATGCTATCCATGGCTATCCTGCAGCACTGAGAAGGCATACGGATACCGCTAATGAAGATCAAGCGAGTCACATTAGGGCAAGTAATGCATCAAGAAATTCAAGGGTCACAGTGCTAGGAGGCATAACTCTCCCTGACGGTGCGCGCTCGCTATTAGAACTGGGTCCAAGCTTTTCACCATCTCAACCCATTTCTAAGGTGTCCTTGCGCAAGGTTGCATGTGGTTTACATGATTTGCAAGATCAACTCCGTAAAAAAAGGCCAGAGTTGAAGAGACTAATAGGAATGAACAGCAAGTAGAGGCACTAATACCACCATTTCCTCAGCCGTTCTATAGACAACAAGACCCCAACGAGGAGGTAGATAGAAAATTCCGGAAATTTGCGGACGAAACTTTTAGAACCCTCACTCACTATAGCAGGAGAAGATATCAATCGAACCTCACCGAACTACAAAAACGTGGCATGAAAGAGGTTCGAGAGTTGATAAGCGAAGGTAGGATAAGGCTATCAGTTAGTGATAAGGGTGGAGAATTTGTTGTGATTCCTCGACAGTTAGATATCGCAATAACGAGCAAGCATCTCGAGGATGCCTCGCTTTACCGATCATCTTCTGTAAAGGAATTCAAAAGGCAAAACCGCAAATTAAACAGTGAGTGGGTCCGTACGGCAAAAGCTGCAGGCTTAAGACCATCTATCATTTCTCAATTAAAAATCCAGTCACCAACATGTCCTGTCTTATACTTGCTTATAAAAACACATATGTTAGTATCCACTGATGATCTGATGTCTAACGATCCATCTATATTCAAAGTTAGACCTATCATCAGTTGTGTAGGCGGACCGACGGATAGGATAGCATGGTTCTTGACTTTAATAACATCCCAGTTGCTAGGACACATTCCAGCCCATCTGACAAACACTCAGATGTTCCTGGATCGTCTACGTAACGCGAACCCGAACAACGCGTACGTAATGGAGTCATTCGACGTTACTGCTTTATATACCAACGTGTCGAATGACTCCGCATTGCAAGCCACACATGAGCTTCTTATACAACACCAGGGAGCTGTAAACATGTATGGCTTGACGATTGAGCAGTTCATGATCCTACTAAAAGAGTGCTTGAACTGCTCAATCTTCAGATGGTCCGGGAATTATTATGCTCAAACCAGAGGGCTGGCAATGGGACAGCGACTGGCACCTAGCCTGGCCATTGCCTTTATGTCTAAAGTGGAAGCACCAGTGATGGATCTCCGGCCATTACTCTACTGTAGGTATATAGATGATTGTTTGATTATCTGTTCCACTCAAGAGGAGCTGGATAATTGTTTTAGATTGCTGAATGAACAGTCAGAGTATATAAGATTCACCCGTGAGATACCAAAAGACGATTGGCTTCCATTCTTGAACGTGCAAATAAGCTTAACTGAGAGCGGCTACATAACGAAGTGGTACCGAAAGCCAAGTAGTAAGAATATCTTGGTTCACTATCTCTCTTCTCACCCCTCACATACGAAGAAGGCGCTAGTAAAAAACATGTTTCGAACAGCAGCCAATGTATGTACCGGGGAGGAGCAGAGAGTAGAATCCGTGAAACTGGCGCGGGAAATAGCCACTTCTAATGGATACGAATTCGTAGCCCCTCGGCTTAGGTTTAGAGGAAATAATGCGCCTCCGAACGAAAACTTAGTTGAAAGGAAAGTCCCGTTTATCATCCCGTTCTATTCAAATGAGGTTAGTACAGCTATAAAACGATGTTTGAAAAGAGCGGGCTTAGAGCAATCGGTGGCCATTATTGAAATACCACCGAATACTCTAAAACGCCAACTAGTTCGCAACCGCTTATATGACCGTCTCTGTATGATGAATGATTGTAAAATATGTCCTAACGGCAGAGACGGTGATTGCATGAGCGTAGGTACAGTCTACCTAATCTCTTGCAAAGCGTGTAGTGATAAATATGTAGGCGAAACGGGTAGGCCGCTCTATGCACGCATAGAAGAACACCTAGCTGACAAGCGTCTTAATAGACAAAACACCCCGCTAGGGACGCATAGAGCACAGAAGCACGACGGAGTTGATTTTGAAATCGAAGTCACCATCCTTGCGCAGGAGCAAAAAACATCAGCGCGAAAGATCTTGGAAGCATTTTGGATTAATACGACCAATCCAACCATAAACCGCAGGGAGGAATGCCTTGTAAACACTCGTGATATGAGCCAGTATATAAGACTGTTGTTTTGATGGGTAGGGTGCATTACGAGCCTATGTGTCTCTCTTGCCGGTGATCTCCACTTGGATCATCCAGTGGAACACATATAAAAAGCGGTGAGTATGTTAAGTGTTGATTTTTGCTTGATGCGATTGAAATCTAGGTCTGGTGATTTTTCTAAAGAAGTAATGGAGGTGTTTGACTGATTGTATTGCAAACATTTTGACCTTTCCAGGCTCTGAAGAAGGCGAACTGCCGAAACGTCAGCTATCGAATAAAGTTTAATGTAACACCTCGTGTTCTGCTCAAAGAAGAAAATCAAGAATAATGAAAGGATCAATTGTCAGATTCAAATGGATACTGGTTTAAGATGGATACTTGTCATCATATAAGTTCGGAACGCGTGTCTTTGTGATATTTTCATAAAGCAACCTTTTGGTGTGCACGGTACTGGGTTATAATCGTTTATAGTGATAAGAAAAATACAATAACAACGATGAGAAGATTTCTAGAAAAGCAGAGAACAGTCTAGTCAAGGCGGTGGTTCAGAGTGCAATAGCTGTAGCAGAGGAGCCACTCAAAGCTTTGGTGGTTCGGAGGTAGAATGCTCGCCTGCCACGCGGGCGACACGGGTTCGATTCCCGGCCGATGCACCAAAATTGTAGCAAAGGCTTGTAGCCGCTAATTACATGTGGTGGTTCAGTGGATTCGTTTTGTATTGTGAAGGTTCAGTGGTTTGTACGGGTTATACCAAACAATAAGATGGAATGAAACAATGGCGTGGTACCAAACAATGTGGTAGAACCAAACAACCTATAATAAACATGCATTACTATAATGATAATATAATAATATATACATTCTCACCACATATTGTTATGCGAACATATGCGTAAGTCAAAATGAGTGACCGATTGATGAGAGGTATCAAGAAGAAGATGAGACGATACTATGAGTGTTATCGTAAGCGAAAGTGTTATGGCAAGTGGTGTTATTGTAGCTGACGGTGTTATTGTAAGTGATAATGTTATTGCGTATGACAATTTTATGACAAGGGACAATGTTATTGTGGTTGACGATGTTATTGTAATTGACGGAGCATGACTAAGCGGCGGAGACCATTGAGGTTGCTATGTTCGCACCGAAGTAGAAGCACGGCGGCGAGATCCAGTGGGCGAGTACATAGTGCTAGCAGAGGGGTCACTACTGATTAGATATTGGAAGAATCCCTAAACCGCGGTGATGGGGTGAGCATAACCAGAGTGAGTTTGCTCCGCCACGGAAGCGCTAAGTTCCGCTCACAGTTCTATTGAGTTCATCTGAGTTGTATGAATGCAACCTTATGAAAGCAATTAGTTACAAGACGACGAGATTGTGTGGAGAGCAATAATGGATCGACAATGTACTGAGGTGAGGTGGTCCGGGTGATGTCAAACGACCGTACGGATGATGCCCAGCGATCAAAGTGACTGTTGAGGTTGGTGACTGTTGAGGTTGGGCAGCTGGGTGCCGCCCTCGTCACTAGGACTATTTCTGTCTAAGCTCCTTGAACCTCTGCGATACCACTTGCTCTCTAAGGTCGTGGACCATCTGTGTTGCCTAAATTATCATATAATTCCCGAAAAGATAGCAAAACTCCGCTGGGACGTTTACTACAAGAGCAGTCGCTGAGCCAACCCTAGGTGGATGACTGATCGCGCTATTTACATTTCCCGTGTAATGGGAGTTTTGGCAAAAGAGACAGAGAGTGATGCAGAAAATATATTATAAAATGTATTACGCTGATAGGCTACTCCAAATAATACAAGGTACAAGCCCAAATTCATATCAGAAAAGACGATATCGAGAAGTCCCATTTGAATAAAGGTTTATCTATGGCGTGGGGACGCTCACATAGAAAGTGCATAAGATAACGACAGAATAGCTTCTATACAAAATTCATGCTGAAACCATGGAAAAGCTTGTGCAGGAAATTTAAGTAAAATTGATAAGAAAAGTGAACAACATTCGTCTTTCATGTGGAGCATGCTGTCTAGACGATCACTTCTATTCTTTTGTAAAGATAAATTGCCGTGAAAGAAGAGTGCCGCACATAGGACTCCTATAATACGATTTCTATTCTTATTTTTTTCCTTCCAGGCTAGTTTTCAATTCTTCTCAAATGATCGAATATATGAATTTTTTTTCCTGCGAGCGGCCACATATATAGAATGACCGTTCAGCACAAAATATCAATGTAAGAAACGAGTAATTCCTTCTGCTTAGCCGTTCCGAGATCTCAATGATATTATTTATTGAATACTAGCGAAGTGTACAACAATACAATTAGTAATGAAGCGTGAATATACAATATTCGAGGTGCTAACGTTTCGGCTGATCTCCTTCTTCAAGGCCTGGAAAGATCACATTGATCCACAGTCCACTACACCAAAACCTCCATAACCCTAGCACAAAACGTTAGAAACGAATTTTGGATCGCATAGTAGAAGCTTCATTTTAAAACACTCAGCGTTTTGATGTTTTGGGTCTATCAATTATTCATTGAAGACCAGCCACTTAAGGTCAGTGCATCAGTGGGCTGTGCCTAACACAGGCCGCAAAGATCAGTTCGAGGTATGGTTCGAGGACACGCGTGATTACGACGCACTCCTCTTTTCGGGCTCATTTTTGGACCTTCGCTATGTATACAAAAGGCTTCCAAGGTTTTACGCGCAGATGCTTTGATTCCTGAGCGAGGGTCGTGAATTTGACGCCGAACATTACTCGTGCATGTTTTTGGTCCCTATGCGTGCCTTGTGGGCTTTTTGGATCAGAATTGCGTAACCCAACAAGGTGCTCTTTCACACGGAGGAATAGTGGTCTACCCGTTTTGCCAATGTACTCATCGCCGCATGCCTCGCAAGAGATTAGGTAAATTATACCCGATCTCATACAGTCGCCGTCTCTGCCGTTCGGACAAACTTTGCAGTCATTGGTTTCGCAGAGGCGGTCATACAGTCAGTTGCGGGCTAATTGACGCTTTTGTGTTTATGGGGGTATTTCAACCATTGCTCCCTAATTATCCAAACCTGCTGTTTTTGAGCACGGTTTAATACCTGTGCTTATTTCGTTAGAAATAAAAGGCAGAAGGAAAGGAATCCTATTTTCTACAGACTTGCCGTTTGGAGCTTAGAATTTCCTCTATATCTAACCTGAGAAGCTCCTACCGTATCGTAGCCATTAGAGATGGCTATTTTTTTCGCTCCAAGCTTAAAGATTCTACTTTGTGTTCTTTTTCTGTGCACATATTTGTCGCTGTTCGCAGCGTATTCCTCAGAAGCGCACGTTTTATGTGTGAAGGATGAGGTGATAGGTAATGAACCAATATGTTTTGTTGCTTGGTTTTCGGTACCATTTTCTATTGTAGGACTTTTTGGACAGGTTGACCTGAGCGTTCAAAAATTGGAGCCAGTTTTGCTTTCTGTTTCTCACGGGGTGAACTTTATGTACTCTGACTGACTGTTCAGCAACTGCGAGCATTTGTCCATCTCCTCTTGGGTTGAGCAGACAAAACAGTCATCTATATACTTACGATAGACTAACGGCCGGAGATCGATTATTGGGCGCTCCACTTAGAATACACAAACCTTAGAAGCCTTTTGGATAGATAGCAAAGGCCTAAAAATGAACTAAAAAGAGGAGTGCCTCGCAATCACGCGTGACCTCAAACCATACCTCAGGCTAATCTTTCCGGCCTGAGTTAGGTACAGCCCACTGATGCACTGATCCTAAGCGGCTGGTCTACAATGAATAATTGATAGACCCAAAAGATCAAAACGGTAAGTCTTTTAGAATGAAGCCTTAACTATGCGATCCCAAATTCATTTCTAACGTTTTCTGCTGGGGTTGTGGAGGTCTTGGTTTAGTGGATTGTGGATCAATATGATCTTTCCGGGCTCTGAAGAAGGCGACTCGTCAAAACGTTACCCACCTCAAATATTATCTGATTCACGCTGCATTACTAACTGTATTGTTGTACGCTTCGCTAGTATTCAATAAATAATATCAATAACACCTCGGCACAGCTAAATAGAAGAAACTACTCATTTATTCAAATATGCCGAGGTTAATAGATATTCGGTCTTAGGATTTATTACAAAATATGAGAAACATTAGCTACTTTGATTTTTCATGGGGCTAGTGCATACTCAGGAAAAACTACTGAAAAACTTATTTTTTACTTGCATTTCTGATATTTTTCGGATTATTCATATTTCTTATAAATTTTAGGACACCGAAGCCGGCAGGTTGTAATGCCGACGGGCTTGGAGCCGAGCACCACCCTCACCACTATCAGGCGGACAACAAGAACGCTCTACGGAACTCCACAGCCAGGCTATTCTTGCAAGTGCAAGAAGACGAAAAATGAATCGAATGCTAGACCTGCTGCAATACGCACAATAAAAATTGTGATAACGAGTCATGTGTATCAAATTTTAAAAATCTTGATACTTTTCTGTTTGGTAGGATGAGATGGAGAAACGATCCCGTTCGCTGGACAAAAATGCTCCATAGGAATGTTATATTTGAAAACGTTCTTCTATAACGCTCCAGTGCAAGGAAAACACTTGTGTTTCACAAGCGTATATTTCTCACAGGATATAGCTGTCCCTTCAAACTGTTAGTAATCATTCGATAGCGTAAGATTTAACAATTTCAGCGCTGTGCCTATTTTCTAGAAAGACCGTTTCTCTGTATTGTAGCATTGAAAAAAAAAGGTTGATACACACTCGAGGGCGCGTGTTTTTTGGTTAATCTACACGCTGGGGATAGGGGCGCAGGGGGTCTGCTCGCGTTTCAACATAGTGATCGACCGATGGCGCTGATGCGCATGTGAAGTGGACTTTTGTTATGCAATTAAGATATTTTTCTCCACATTGAAAGGAAATTTCAAATTAAACGCATGATTCTGATTCTACAAGATTTTTTCTACATGCTCATATGATTCCGTGCTTCTAACGAAGTAACAGTAAAATTAGGCAGACCATGCAAAACATTATCATATTTCGGATTTTATAGCAGTATGAGAAGGCCCTCAAAAGGACGGCCAAGTATAGCACTAGCCAGAGATTCAAGCTTACGAATGATTGCTAACCTTCTTATGAAACGTTCATGTTCAGTGAAAAAGATCGTTTCTTCATCCCGTGCTAACAAACCGAAAAGGACCGAAATTGTCCCATTCTTTTCATCATTATGTACAGCTCGTCTTTATAAGTGACATAACGTCTATCGGAGGAACACTACAGAATTCAATATGATGAAATTCCATTTTCCTTATTCTCACCTTACGGATTAATTAAAATTCTTTACATATTGGCTTCATAGAAAGTCATATCATATTTGGAAATTATACAAAGAGCACTGTTCCGACTTTGCGCCGTCAGCCTAAACACATTTCTGCCATCCCTCAAGCAAAGAATCAATAACGTACTCAAAGAACTTGTCATCCTTAGATTTATAGAAACACAACAACTGCGCATCTCTTTAAGATGCGTCCAAAACAAAATGTTCTTCTAGATAAACAAATGTGCGTCAAAAGAACATTATTGTACTCAGTATCTGGAGAAACGCCTTTTAGGAGAGAATAGTAAGCGAATCAATAGCTATTTGCTAT